TCAGGAATTCTCACCACGAACCTTTCCTGCAATAACCTGGTTTTTCATCTCCAAGCCTGATCTCCCTCCTCACCAGAACCGACCCGCTCTCCCACCGCTCACCTTCCTTGGATTTTGGATTCATGCTGAAGTTGCTCACCCCAGTCCTGGCTACCCTCCCAAGCTCTGGATCTCAGCCCCACAGTAAGATCCACTACAAACTAAATCCTGCAAGATTCTATTCCTCGCTGCCCAACACTGACAGTGTTTGTTCCAACAGACCCAGCCCGGAGCTCTGCTCAGCCTCACCGCCACGTCTGGCGGTGCACCTTTAGTTCTACTTAAAATAAACCATTTATTTTTCCTACCACGTCTCCTAGTGTGAATTCTGCATGTCTTGGGTCAGGAAACTTCCCTCGGTCATGACAGAATCTTCCGGCCCAACTCCTGACTCTGCAGAATCTTCTTCTCCAACCGTCTCCGACATGCTGGCTCTCCATGACCGGTCCATACAGGCGCTTGTGGAGCAGACTTCGGCCTCCAACCAGCACCTCCTGCGAATGGATGCCCTCCTCCAGAATCTCCACAGCTGCCTCCCACTAGCCCCGGAACCAGCAGTCCCGGATCCTGTAGTTCCACCCGGAGCAGTTTCTCAGGAACTCCCGGCTCTCAAGCATTTCCGGCTTGCCTCCTCACCGCCTGTTGTCACTTTTGAGGGTGAGTCCTCTGAATGCCAGAGTTTTTTGCTTCAGTGTAATTTAGCGTTTGGACGCTCACCGTACTCTTTTAGCTCAGACAGTGCTCGAATTTCGTATGTGATTGGATTGCTCTGCGGACGAGCTCTCAGGTGGGCTGAGGCTAGGAGTCATGAGGAAGCTTTTTTAACCGGTCCCTTTTCTGAGTTTGTGAAGGAATTTAAATTAACGTTTGGATGTGAGGAATCACCGGGTGACGTGGCACGCAAATTGCTGCACTTGGCCCAAGGACGGAGATCGGTAGCGGATTTCGCCATTGATTTTCGGACCATTGCTGCTTCCACGAAATGGAATGAAGAGGCACTTAAGGGGGTCTTCACGAAAGCCTTATCGGAAAGGATTAAGGACCAGCTAGCTTTTTGTACTGAGCCTGCCACTCTTAATGAGTTGATCAATTTGGAGATCCGCATCGACAAGAGGCACCGGGAGAGACAATCAGGTACACATTCCTCACACACTAACCTGTCTCCTCAGCACCCGTCGCTACCTAAGAGCCAAGGCCTAATGGAGGAACCCATGGAACTAGGTCGGACACATCTGGACCCAGAGGAGAAGCAGCTACGCCGCAGGTCTGGTCTTTGTTTATATTGTGGTCTCGCAGGTCATTATGTCTCCAAGTGCCCTTCGTTAAAAGACAAGGCCCGTCATTAGAAACGAGAGTGATGATGGGCAGTGTGACCAGTGGAACCTCTCGTAGCATCATTCCCTGTACCTTAGTTTCCAGGTTTCACACACTCGACTGCCATGCGCTGTTAGATTCTGGCTGTGAGCAGTCCCTTATGGATACAGAGCTGGTTAAACAGCTGGGGCTTTCCACCGTCACCTTGTCTTCTCCTCTAGCTGTCTCTTCGCTAGATGGGAATTCACTCACTACCATAACACATCGCACCACACCCATCATTCTCAGAATATCCGGTAATCACACTGAGGAACTCTCGTTTTTTGTTTTTCCATCCCAAAACGCTCCGATAGTCCTTGGGCATTCCTGGCTCTCTGTTCATAACCCCCACATCAACTGGCAGACCAACTGCATAGAGACCTGGAGCCCCCATTGTTCCGCATCATGCCTCAGTTCCGCACTTCCTTTCCCCAGTGGTGACCGCTCCCCTCCGTCTGAGCCCCCAGACCTGTCTGGAGTCCCTGAGTGTTTCATGACCTTAAAAATGTTTTCAGTAAGGATCATGCAGCCTCCCTTCCGCCTCACCGACCTTTTGACTGCAGCATACATTTACTCCCTGGAGCACCTCTCCCTTCTAGTCGCCTTTACAGCCTCTCCAAACCTGAGAGGGAGAGCATGCAGAAATATATTACTGAGTTTGGCGGCTGGATTGATTCGACCTTCAACCTCTCCTTTGGGTGCGGGGTTCTTCTTTGTCCCCAAGAAGGATGGTACCTTGCGACCCTGTATTGACTACCGCGGACTCAATAACATCTCAGTCAAAAACAAGTATGCTCTGCCCCTCCTCTCATCCACTTTTGAACCGGCACAGGGAGCAACAATTTTTACTAAACTGGATCTAAGAAACGCTTACCACCTGGTCAGGATAAAGGAGGGTGACGAGTGGAAGACCGCCTTTAAGACCCCCCTTGGCCATTACGAGTACTTAGTAATGCCATTTGGTTTGACTAACGCTCCTGCTGTGTTCCAGACTCTAATCAATTCAGTGCTTGGGGATTTCATTAACCGCTTTGTTTCTGTCTACTTAGATGACATCCTGATTTTTTTCTAAGGATCCTGTGGAACACGAGGAGCATGTGAGGGCGGTACTTCAGCGCCTTCTCCAGAACAGGTTGTTTGTCAAAGCAGAGAAGTGCGAGTTTCATGTGCATTCAGTCAAGTTTTTGGGTTTCATCCTGGAGAGCGGGCGGTTAAAGGCTAACCCTGAGAAGACCCAGGCCATTCTGGACTGGCCCACTCCCACCTCCAGAAAACAGTTGCAACGTTTCCTGGGCTTCGCTAACTTTTATCGACGTTTTATTCGAGGGTACAGTCAGGTAGCGGCCCCTCTCACCAGCTTGACTTCCATTTCCAGATCCTTTGTTTGGACACACCAGGCCCGGGCTGCCTTTGACCAGCTCAAACACCGGTTCACCCAGGCCCCTGTCCTGACCCGACCGGACGACACCCGACAGTTCACTTTGGAGGTCGACGCCGGAGTCGGAGCTGTACTGTCCCAGGTGAACCCAAACAATAATGCTCTCCACCCCTGTGCTTTCTTCTCCGTTCTCAGTGGCCTAGTGGCCCTGAGATCGGGAGATCACGGGTTCGACTCCTGGTCGGGTCATACCAAAGACTTTGAAAAAATGGGACCCAATGCCTCCCTGCTTGACACTCAGCATTAAGGGGTTGGATTGGGGGGTTAAACCACCAAATAGTTCCCGAGCGCGGCTTGTCTGCAGCTCACCGCTCCCCCAGGGGATGGGTCAAATGCGGAGAATAAATTTCACCACACACCTGTGTGTGTGTGTGTGTGACGACTAAATGGGACTTTTTTTCTTTTCCCGGCGTTTGTCCCCTGCTGAGAGGAACTATGATGTTGGAGACCGGGAACTCCTCGCTGTAAAGCTCGCCTTGGAAGAGTGGAGGCATTGGCTGGAGGGGGCGGAATTGCGGTGGTTATCTGGACGGACCATAAGAATTTGGCGTATATCAAGGATGCCAAGAGACTCAACCCCCGACAGTATCGTTGGTCCCTGTTCTTTTCCCGTTTTAACTTTATTATTTCCTACAGACCAGGATCTAAGAACGTCAAACCTGACGCCCTCTCCCGGCAGTTTTCCCCTGACTATGACCTGGAGCCAGCCACCATCATCCCTCCCTCCTGCGTCGTGGGATCCCTAACCTGGGACATCCGAACCAAGGTTCTCCAAGCCCTTAAGACTGACCCAGGCCCAGGTAACACACCTCGTGACCTACTTTTTGTTCCCAGCCGAGTCCGAGGCCCCGTCATCCACTGGGCTCACACTGGGCGTTTTTCTATGCACCCCGGGGTGGGACGTACTGTGGCCCTCATTCGGCGCACGTTCTGGTGGCCATCCCTTTACAAGGACGTCAAGGACTATATAGCTGCCTGCCATGTCTGTGCCAGGGGTAAGGGTACCAACCAGCTACCTGCCGGTCTTCTACAACCTCTTCCCATCCCCTCACGACCTTGGTCCCATATTGCCCTGGATTTTGTTACTGGTCTTCCCCCTTCTCATGGTTTTTCTGTAATTCTGTCCATTGTAGATCGTTTTTCCAAGGCCTGCCACCTTGTTCCCCTGAAGTCACTCCCTTCCTCCTCGGTTACTGCCCAACTGTTGATTTAACATGTGTTCCGCCTTCACGGCATCCCTCAGGACATCCTATCGGACCGGGGTCCCCAGTTCATCTCACAGTTGTGGAAGGAGTTCGCCGCCGCCCTGGGGGCCAAGGTCTCTCTCACGTCAGGGTTTCACCCCCAGTCTAATGGGCAATGTGAGCGGCTGAACCAGGAGCTGGAAGCCACCCTGCATTGTGTTTGTGCCACTAACCCCTCTAGCTGGAGTGCTCAGCTTCCCTGGGTGGAATATGCGCACAACAGTCATGTCTCCTCATCCACCGGCAGATCCCCCTTTGAGACGTCACTGGGCTTCCAGCCTCCCCTGTTTCCCTCGGACCAAGTAAGTGCCGCCTCTTCGGTTCCTCGGTTTCTCCGTGGGCTCGGCGTATGTGGACACAGACCGTCGTGGCCCTGGGACGTACGGCCGAGCGCAACAAGAGAGTTGCTGACCGGCACAGACGTCCTGCTCCTCAGTACGTTCCTGAACAACGAGTGTGGCTGTCCGCCAGGGACATATGCCTGAGAGCCTCCAATCGAAAGCTCTCTCCTCGTTTCATTGGTCCCTACACCATTGCTGCAGTCCCTAGCCCCTCCACTGTTCGTTTAACCCTTCCTTCCTCCCTTAGGATCCACCCTGTGTTTCATGTGTCCCTCGTCAAGCCTGTTTTGTCTAGCCCCCTGTGTCCCTCTCCTGTTCCTCCTCCTCCTCCTCCTCCTCGTTTTTTTGAAGGTGGCCTGGTTTATCCTGTCCGGCGGCTCCTCGACGTTCGTCGCCGGGGCCGGCAATACCTCGTTGACTGGGAGGGTTTTGGTCCCGAGGACAGGTCATGGGTCCCTGGGTCGTTCATTACGGACCCTTCTCTCATCGCTGACTTTGAGGCCTCCAGGGCCTCGTCTTCTTCACCCTCCTCCTCCTCTGCTAGGCCGCCAGGGGGCGTCCGTTGAGGGGGGGGGTACTGTCAGGATCTGGGGTGAGTCTGCACATTCCTCTAATCACCTTAAGTCATTGCAGGTGGGCGGCTCTGGAGAGCGGCCAGCTGCAGTGAGTTTCCCTCATCGGCTACATGGGTTTATAAGGAGCTGGAGATCACTTCACCTCGCCGGAAGATTACTCACCTTGGGTAGCTCTTGCCATTATAGTAAACTACAGTTTAGTCTTGCCTGATATTAGTCTGTTGTTGATGGGTTTTTTTTGATGACCTCTGCCTTCCCTTCATCAGGAATTCTCACCACGAACCTTTCCTGCAATAACCTGGTTTTTCATCTCCAAGCCTGATCTCCCTCCTCACCAGAACCGACCCGCTCTCCCACCGCTCACCTTCCTTGGATTTTGGATTCATGCTGAAGTTGCTCACCCCAGTCCTGGCTACCCTCCCAAGCTCTGGATCTCAGCCCCACAGTAAGATCCACTACAAACTAAATCCTGCAAGATTCTATTCCTCGCTGCCCAACACTGACAGTGTTTGTTCCAACAGACCCAGCCCGGAGCTCTGCTCAGCCTCACCGCCACGTCTGGCGGTGCACCTTTAGTTCTACTTAAAATAAAACATTTATTTTTCCTACCACGTCTCCTAGTGTGAATTCTGCATGTCTTGGGTCAGGAAACTTCCCTCGGTCATGACAGAATCAAATGTTTTATTGTCCCAAAAACTGGGAAATATGACATTTGTAAGTGGATACTGATGACATTATTTCCTATGAAAGTGTTTCCTATGTACTTATCTGTTTTATTTATCTACTTTAAAGAGGATTAAGACTTTCCTTGAGGAACACCATGACACAGGATGGGCTGAATGCTCTTGCCATGCTCTCCATGGAAAAAAAAAGCTTGTCACAAACATTCCTGACTTCAATAAAAAGCTAATCGAGAGCTTTGCCACTCAGAAGGACAGAAGGGCAAAATTTCTGTACAAATGAGGTATCACACACACACACAAATGCATCCACTTGATCTTTGTATAAAGTTGACCTTGGCACAACACTCCAGAAATATTTAACAGTGTAAATTTCTGGCATTTTGTCTAAGTAGTGTTTACTACCATTACTGTAACAGTGACCTGCTCACTGTAACAGTGACCTGCTCATAATTTTTCGTGTTCACTCAAATGTTGAAATTAAACAAAATGTTTTTGTTACTTGCCTCTTGCATTGCCTATTTACCATTTATGGTCATGTTATTTTATGTGCAATTTAATGCAGTATTTTTCAACCTTGGTCTGCAAGGCAGCGTGCCAATAGTCAGACACACCTGGATTAATCAGTTTGTCCAATGATGTAAGACAGGAAATAAAAGAGCTGTGCTTAATTCAGGAAATAGTGAAGTTGTGCACAAAGCTCAGAATGCACAAGTTTGTTTAAAAAAAAAAATAGCACAGCCCCACCAAAAATATTTTTCACCAGCCGCCACTGGTTAATCCGGTGTTGTCTGAGTTGGCGCGAGGGGAAACGTTGAGCTTCCACTAATTCATTAATAGAGTGGAAACGGCTGAACTCACACCGTGTTTGCGTGGTTCTTTCTCTATTCCCCATATAAATTTAAACAGATTACAGTCTGAGTTTTTACCTGTAAAAGGGGAATAGAGAAAGAACCACGCAAACACGGTGTGAGTTCAGCCGTTTCCACTCTATTAATGACTGAGTAGAAGCTCAACGTTTCCCCTCGCGCCAACTCAGACCTGACTAGTCAATGCCAAACCAGCTAAAAACGTTTAATAACAAACTCTAGAATAGCAATTGGTCTCTCCAAAAAGTAGATAAAACTGTAAACATAAAAGATAATACTTAGGCAAATACATCAGAAGCACTTTTAGAAGCAATATATATAATATTTTTAACTTATTCAGTCTACAACCTCCACAAATACACTATGTAAATGTCTGATTCAGCTTTTACAACCGTTGGTCTAGATAATTTTGGTGTTTTAGGCGAGTTTGTCCAGATAAACACTTACCGACGGGAACTTGCTCTTCTATTTCCTCCTCTCTAATATGTTTAAGGAAATAAAGCCATGAAAAACAGTCCACGTCGGAGACGCCGTTTAAAAACCGGAGTATCGTCTCTTCTGCGCCATTGTCCCGACTCAGGAGTTCGTCGAAAGATTCTGTTAAACCAAAAGAAACTACCGTCTTTCGGATCCACTCCACGCGAAGATCATCGTGGATCCCCATTTCTTTAATATTTTTATCGAGCTCGAATCGTGTAAAGTGGTTGAAACCGTTCAAACCACTTACAGCCGCTGGTGCTGGTAGCGATGTCCCGTTACCCTGACAACGGTCTTGTAGATTAAAAGGGACAGGGGGGGGGGGGGGGGGGGGGGGGGGCAGTGACTGGAATGTCTCTATAGGCGTCATTTTAACCGGGGACACCGGGGACATGTCCCCGGCAAAATTTGTAATTGGCAGCTGTGTCCCCCCCACTTTCAAAAAAGCCTGCTGATGAGGATTTTTGTTTTACCAGCTCAGATCTTTTACCAGGGGTCGGCAACCTGTTCCCATCAAAGAGCCATTATTACCCATTTCCCACAGTAAAGAAAACACTGCAGCAGTCGCATCGTTGTGGGCGGGGCCTCGCCTCAGACAGCAGAGAGCTGCTCACAACCAGGTGACAGCGGCCGGTACCATGGGCGTCGCACCCGTGGGGGATTCAACACCCACACTTTTCCAGCTGTTTTGCTCACCTCCACACCAGTCTGGTTTCTTTACGTCACACTCACTCTGTTTGCCTCATCTCCTTCTTCACCTCCGCTTCTGACAGCCGATGTCGGGTTTCCAGGAAAGCAGGAGAGGGAGGGACGGAAGAGCTCGACTGAATTCATAATTTTACATCTTGACATTAGCTGTACAAAGTCTGAGTTTGATAAAGTGAAGAACAACCATTTGCAGAGGTTTATAATAGGCGCGGCGCCAGGTTTTCATTTTTGGGTGGGCCAAGGTAATTTTGGACGGACCTTAATAAGCAGTGACTTAGTGAAGCAGGCAGGTCGCGCTAGGAAATTTAGTTTAATAAGACGTCATAAATGTGTTTCCCCCTCATTTTTATTTATAAAATATGAAGTAAAAACTCCCAATTTAATTTTCATTCATTTCTCATTAATATGTAGTCTACACCCGTGCGTTAAGTGGACCAACTTCCAGTAAACGCAAAGCATCCAGCCCACCTCTCCAAATGCGTAAAATGTGCATCAGCCGCTAGTTAGGCGTGCCGCGCGCACCGTCAGCTATCGGCCCAGACGAGAGCAGAGCAACTAGAGAAAGAATAGAGGATAATTGTGTCTGGATGTGGATGGAGATTACATTTTACAGCAGCCTGATCATCATTTAAATACGTAAACCATCACCTGTCTTCTAGTCCATGCTATCAGCATTATTTTATCTGGTGTGTGTGTGTGTGTGTGTGTGTGTGTGTGTGTGTGTGTTCCACTTCAAACACTGGTCTAACCAACCAGACCTGCGTGTCCAGTAACATATTAATGTTACAATTAAACAGTTTCACTTCATGTAGGCTAGGAACGTTTCACCTGCCGTGGCCCGACCGCTTCTGCTCCACATAAACTTTGTGCGTGATCAAATGTCTCTACAGGTGCTTTCTGAGCTGAAGAGGCGACTGGATGCGTCATGCGTCTCCATATTGGAGACGGGATCAAGCGCTGTTCAGCCAAACTTTCATAATTTCATAAAAATAACATTTTTCCAAGTGACACATCCCTCAGAGAGACCGGGTTTCCAGACCGCTTCAGTGGGAGGAAATCAACGAACATCCTTGAGTTTATCCGTCAAAATAAAAGTCTAATATAAATATCTGTAACCTACCATTTAACTGTTATGCCTTCCTGTGAAGATTGTTGCAAAGAGAAACAATTAAACTTGATTAACCCCAGAGCCACGCGCACTGCGCTGTACGTCGTGACTGTAAATGAGGGGAAATGATTTAATCGGATCCTTTTCTTTTCAACATGGTTTAATGTAAAGTTTCATTCAGTACAAACTTTAGTTATACCAATATAACGAGACAGAGCCTGGATTTGGATTCTGAACAGTTTAAACATGTTTAAAACGGAGACATGCGTGACGCATCTAAAATTCGCACCTGCTCCGCTATTATGGAAATTAAACTAACAAGATGAATAGCATGAACTTATTTTAGGCACAGACAATATCTGCCACACTTTTGAAAAGTTTGCAACGCGCCTGGTCGCTCGTGTATGTCAAAGTTATCTTTCGTAAGAAGATAACCAATAAAACGATTTATATAAAGATGATCCAGAAGTTGTAGCCCCTCTCTGCCGACAATATTTTGATATTTTTCACCCTGTTGGTGGTTTTACTGAGCAGGTGCCACTTTTGTCACGCGATTCTTTTAAAAACATGTTTAGACTGTTCAGAATACAAATCCAGGCTCTCAGAACCAGAGCGCATGCGGGAAGGTTCCTCCCACTGAAGCGAGTGTTTTCCAAACCCGGTCTCTCAGAGAGACTTGTCACTTAGAAAATGTTCCTTGATTATGAAACTTTGGCTGAATAGCGCTTGTTCCTGTCTCCAATGTGGCGACGCATCCAGGAACCTGTCTGAGGAGAAGCCCAGAATCTGACATCCTTCAGCTCAGGAAGCGCATATGATTACGCACAAGCGTGACGCGTCAACCCGGTCTCACAGTAAGACCGGGTTGGACCTGTTCAGGTTTACGCAGACAATCTTTACATTTAGAATTGGCATACAGATGTAAAATTAATGCAGTAAAATATAAAGCATTTTATTTAAATATCCATTCATTATTTTAAAAGTACAGAGAGCCGCATCAGATGGATGGAAGAGCCGCATGCGGCTCCAGATCCGCGGATTGCCGACCCCTGTGCTAGCCTACTTTATTGTCCCCAGCAATTTTTAAACCCCACTCAAGTGTATGGTTATTGTCCCCAGCAATTCTGAAAACAAACTGACGCCCTGACTCCACCAGACCCCAAGAGGC